AGCTTGGTGTCTCAGTTTTTCCATCTGTCAAAATGTTTTTGTTTAAATAAATAAATAAAAGGCTGACACTAAAAGGAAGCAAAAATAAGCCATAGTAACTAGGACTTACAGCAGTTGAAAAGAAAACTTGACTATAAGGTGAATTCGATGATGATTTGCAAAGGCGTGAGGATTGCTGGGCAAATGCAAGTTCGGGATTAGGTTGACCAGCTACAGTGACTTGAAGTGGGGACATTAGTAACCAAGAGACCTTTATACATTGCTCGTTCCAATTTCAGAGAATGATGGGGGAGGGAGGGAGGAAGAGGAGAAAGAGCTGTTTGTCTGCCAGCTGAAAGTCACGACTGTTACGGTATACATTGAATCCCGAAGGTTAGAGAGTCCTACACTATTTTACTATTCCCATCCTTCCAGAAATGGTTTCACCAGGGGCTAGTAACTGTCCTTTGCAGCCTAGCAAACAAGGTTTTATAAATAAGCCACTGTCTGGTACACAGTGAGTTGCTGTCACCTGTGAGGTGACAACAGAAGCTGTGCAGTGGCTGCCCTGGGGCCAGAGCCTTTCACTCAGGCCATGGAGAACTGTCCAGGTCTTAAATGGTCCTGTGCCTTTATGGTCTGGGAGCTCGTGCCTCGGAGCTTATCCAGGCAGTCCAGATCCAGGATATATCTCCCTTTTTGAAGGAAAATGGCCTAGAAGCCAGTGCTCCTGATGGCAGGGGGACAGGCGGCTGCTGCAGTGAGGGAATGAGTTGGCAGATACCTGGATGCAGGAGAGCTGTGGAGATGGGTGGTGATGCTTGCCGTGGCACTGCTGCTTCCACGCTCCTTGGCTTGTACTTTCCCTGCACCATTCCCAGTTCCTTTATCCTTTTGTCTCGCGCTCGATGCTAGCTGTGGTTCAGGGTATTACTGCTGGCACCCAGAGGGGCTGGAAATGTCGATGGTGTTTTGGCAGCACTGCTAGTTCCCTGTGCTTCGTGTCAGCGCTCTGCAGCCATGTGGCGGGGGTGGCCTGCTGCGCTTCCCTGTGAGGGAGCACTGCACGCGTGGCAGGTGTGTTTCCATGCCTGCGTAGCCGTAAAGGACAGGCACCCCAAATAGGAAGCCTTCTGTGTTGCTGAGGAGGAGGAGGTGGTGGCAGGCAGAGCTCCCTCACTAACGGCTGCAGAGGCAGCAATGTTGCTTCACCCCAAGATGTCATGTGCTTACTCAGCAGGAGGAAAGCTGCTTTGATCAAGCTGGGGAGTTGCAACGAGAGACCTGTGGTCTTCTCAGGCCACGTTGCTGCAAGTGAGGGTGGCCGCATTTCCCTTTCTGCTCTTGAGAGTATCTGGTTGTAGGACGTGTGGCGCCAAGGAGAGCCTCTTGAATGTTTTCCAGGCTCTGAGAGTTCTCATGCCTTGTTGCAGTGAGCTTCCCGAGAGGATTGGAGGCTCAGAGTTTTCTCCAATTAAAAAACGTTAACACCATCAAAATAACTGGCTGAGCATTGTAGTGTTTCCAGCAAAGAGATGGGGGACCAGGCAGACTTTTCATTCTGATGAGTCACTGACTCTCCTGATTTGCCTCTTGTAAAAGCTCTTTGGGCAGCTGCTGATGCAGGAACATGCTTCTGAGTGGTGGTCCCTGGGGAGCAGGACAGGGCTGCATGCTGCTTCACCTCTGAACTGGTGGATAGTTCTTCTGCCTAGCTCTTCATCAGTAAAGCCTTGCTTACAGCTGTGGTTCTTGCCTGCCTTGATCCTGCCTCATCAGGATAGCTGGGGAGCTGATGGGGAGGGGGAGTGTTGGTGCAGAGAAACAAAATGCCCGACTGCTTTCTGTAGTCCTAAAAGCATGAATTGGAAATCAAAGGGTTTGATGCCTTACGTTCCTGGATCTTCTTATAACCATGTCACAGCTGAAGGTTTTGTCTCTGTCCCAAAGAAAGACCGTGGTCCCTCTCTAGGACCCAAGACTTGTCCATACCCATATCCTTCCCTGTGCGCAGACAGGACCACTGTACACTGTTCTGTAGCTGGTCTCCAGGTCCTCCGTCTGTGTTTTTATGTTGCACACATCTGTCTGAGAGAGGAGATCTTAGAAGCTAGGCAGTTTCTGTTCTGGGGATGTTGAGGATGAAGGGGCTACTTGTGACATTTTTGAGGGTAATTATTGGTGAACTGGGAAGAACAGTGTGGAATCACATTAATGGACTTAAGAGTCTTGACAGGAAAAGCTTTTATCTTCCATTACCGACTTTTTGTGCCTGAGACTATATAAAGTAAGATCACTGGTGGGGTGGGACTGCCCAGAGAAGGGAGCCTGGTAGACTCCCAGCTCTCTCTGCAGGCTCTTTATTAATACTTAATATGACTTGGATGCACACAGGAATCTTATCTGTTGGAGTAAGGGTCATGGACACTTTTTTTTTTTCCTTGTTAGCATATTTTTTCACAGTAGAATCATGCCTTTGTTTATTAATTGAAGACTATAAAAAGGCTTTTTCCCATGTCTCTCTCCTCAAAAAGGAGGGCTGTTGATTGGTTCAAGGCCAAAAAAAGCAGACTTAGAGTCAAACTGATCTGTGATCTCACTGTCTTTGTTTAACTTTATCTAGGGAGCTTCAGTTTTGTGTGGCTAGTTTTACAAAACAAAAGCAAACAAAAAGGGAATGGTCATTAGGCAGATTTTGCTCTAACAGACACCTACCTAATTTGATCAGACTCCAGTGAAGTAAAGCTATTTGAAGCGGGGCTTGAGGAACTGCCTGATCTGTATGTTCATGGATCACTCTGAAAGGGCTTATTCAAGTGCATTTAAAATATGGTGCACTGATGTTAAGGAGGGCTCCTTTCCACAGGCATTCTTTTTTACTGATAGAAACCTGCATTTTACTGATTTGCAAAACCAGAGGGTGGAAGTGTGATTACTTAGTGTCCAAGTGTCTATATTGGCGAGCATGTGAAGCATACTAATGGGATAATACTAATAAGAGCTGTTAAATTATTTACATGAATTACTGAATGTGGCGTAAAATATCTTCCACTGTTAATACCACTAATTAGACCACCAATGTATTGCATTCGTTATCATAAATAATCTGTAGGTTAAATCAGACCATTTGTTTTAGCTTCCACAGTCCCTGTAATAGTTTAATTTGGCTTAAAATGGCTTTCAAAGTTGCTCGGTTTAGAGGTTTTTCTTTTTTTTTTCTTTTTTTCTTCACCTTAGCTGCTTATGTAAAGTGTCCAGATGCTCTAAGTGAATTCTTCATTGTTTGTTGCTGTCCCTGCTCATCTTGTGCATGTAGGAGAATTGTCTTCTGTTTATATTTAATTTCTGAAATACAAATATTACCAAATAAAACTCCAGAATATCCTAGAGAAGATTCTCTGAAAGCTTTAGAGTCCTGACTAGAAAGGTAAGGAAGGCTTCAATTCTCTGTTCTGTTGTCATTGGAATTATATGAGGGTTTTGAAGTCTGCCAATGCCAAAACACATCATTTTCCTCCAAACCCAAATTGTCCAAGTTTGTTCTCTTTTCATGCAATTTCACAACTTTTTGGGTTTGTTTTTTTTTTTTTTTTTTCCTCTGGGATCTTTGGTTTACTTTTGTTTTGTTTTGTTTTTGCAAGTGACCTTGGTTTTGCAAGTGACATACCTTCAAGGGTATGTCTTTTGAAACATCTTATTTGATTTTTGTTGAAATTTTTATAATTGGTCATTGGAGTAGAGACGAAGCATGGGAAATTTTCATACAAATGACAATTATTTGAGAGAGTTTTTTAGAATAGTTCTCCTGCACGCTGTGTTCATGGTGACGGTGGTGTGACTCATTGAGCAAACTTCCTGGCATTTCTGCCAGCTGTGATTTCTCAGGATTTTAAAGGAGGTGATAACTGAATTATAAATAGACAATAGGTTCCATCTGTGAATTTCAAAGCTAGATCCAGAGTTTTGCAGAAGGTGGGAGTGCATTTTTGGATGGATTGGTTCTGGCTATGATATTTTGCCAAAAGGGCAGACAATTAGTCTAGACAGGCAAACACACTAGTGTCCTTGTAGTGAGATGCTTACTTACGGTGTCTTGATTCTGTTAAACACACTGGAATGACTTGGAATGACTTCCAGATTTGCACTCCAGTTCAGCCCATCACTCTTATGTCTGCTAGCCATCAGAAACTTACTTGACTGCCAAAATCCTTGCAGTGTCATGTGGGAGACCAGTGAAATAAAAATAAAGAAATATTTACAGGCTTACTTTAAAATTATTTTTTTTCATGACTTTTGGGATATGTGATTGCCTAGCCATGCATTTGAAGGACGTGTATACATGTGTGTTTTGCTGCACTACTCTGCTAGCTAGAACCACTTTTAAATGGATGTCCTACCATTGTGTCAGTCAGGCTTTCTTAGCACAGAAGAGAGCTGAACCATACAATTAACTTCACAGAGACTAATTAAGACTGGCTGTTCTGAGCTCTGGTGGGGGAGGTGGTCCAGCATCAGACCCCGTCAAGTGATGTACTGGGTGGCTAAAAAGACCTGCAAAGCTCTAGTAGTTCCTTGCACCAGAAAAGGGAGACGGCTTTTCCCAGGCTTGCTTTTGAAACCAGGCACGAAGTTGTGTGGTCTCCAGCACTGGAGATGCTCGGTGGCTCGTTCCAGCCAACAGGAAGTGCTTGTAGTCGCTGATGGCTAATTTAAGCAGCTGCTTTTTAAAGACACAGTGTCAGTGGTGCCTGTTCTGTGTATGCAAGCAGATGCTGATCTGGTGCTGTTGCAATGGCGCAGTGTTTTAGGATGGTGATGGGTGTCCCATGGGGCTCTGCACGTATGAGAGTGGCTTCCTTTTGCATGAACTCAGCTGGCTGGGGTGTGAACTAGGTGACCAGCAGTTTGCAGCTTAAGTGATGTTTTTGCCTCCTTTGCAGACCTGGGAAGGTTTTGGGATCGTTGTCTGGGTCTCGGGGCACAGCCTGCCGGAGGCACTGGAAGTGGATTGGTTCCTGGTCATGCCCGGTGGAAGGAGGGGACCCAGCCGGCAGCAGCTAAGCCGTACAGCTTTGCCTTCTCTCCAGACACTGGTTGGCGGGAGCTGTGGAAACGGTACTGGTTTGAGAAACAGGTGAGGAAAAAGGTAGGGTTGTTGAGAACACCTGTGGCTAGGGTAGTGCTAAAAGCTAGGAGCCTTGATCCACTCTGAACTCTGTGTAGGAGTGTGGCTTCACGGTTAAAGCAAGAAACTGGGAGATGGGAACCTCAAGCCCTTTACTGTGCCATTAGGAGATGGCCCATCCAACAGGGAACGTGCTCTGCGTGACAAATCTCTTCCAGCTTCTCTTCTCAGCTTTGCTATGGCACACATTTCCCTTTGCGGCCTCTCTCTTGACTTCATGCATTAAAATCAGCCTTGTGGGGAGGATTGTGGAAGTGATTTCTGCCACCCATCACCACTCACCATGGTCACAATGGCCAGGGGTAGAAATCCCACAGTACTCGGTCTGTCTTTCTTTCCTTTCTTTCCTTTTGTGTGTAGATTATGAGTCCTCTTCTCTCTTTCTCACTTGCCTGCGATACCACAGGGAGTTAGTGTGACATATCAGAGCTCAGCTGTGAGCCCCCCTCCTATGTGATAGAAAGGCAGGGCAGGAGGATTCCTATATTCTGTTCTAGCCCTGATGGCTGCAGATGAAACCAGTTCTTAGAGTTGGCAAAGCTCATCTCCATTTTCTGGGGAAGTTGGGGGCTGAAAAAGGAACACACAGTGACATTTAGATCTCCACGTTTGGTCCAGAGACTTAAAAGGGCCCGGTGTTACTTCCGTCCATACTGAAGTTGTCAGACTAGAGAAACTATCTGCTGCGTGTTGAGGCCCTGATCTGCTTGGTATAGGTTCATCCTTAGAGCATAGAGATCCAGGCCATTTAGCTTTGGCCTTTAAAGACTTCTCTGGCTGGGACAGATGGATGGATGGCAGTCTTGGATTCTTAAAGAACAAGTGAGTGCATTGAGACCATGTAGTCAGCGCCTCAAAGTCCTGGGGGAGCATCGCTTATCCTGGTTTCAGTCAGATGCAGCATAGTTTATGTCTGAACTTCCTCCGTCAGTTTAGTCTGCCAGAGCTTTTAGTTGTCCGAGCCTCCTCTGAAGGCTAGGAAAGAGGGAAGTGTGAGAACAGTTGAGAGGTCAGCCTCTAGGAAGCGGCTGAACTCCTCCATTCCGTTTTAGTTACCTCTCTTTTCAAGAGAGGAGCTGTTAGCAGAAAGACCATGGGCACTGCAGTACTGGAGAAGGAGGCTGGCTGATACTGTAATGTCCTAGGGATGGGTGGAAGAAGCTAACATTAAGCACTTGGTCTGGCGGGGAGTCCAAACTGATTTTTGCTTGGAGTTGTTTCCTCACTCTGTACCTCTGTTACTCCATCTACAAGTTTACTGAAATATTGTTGGGCATGTCATAGCACCTCTGGCAGACCAATCTGTTGTCTAGAGAAAATGCTGGATAAGGGTTTTGTCTGAGCTAAGAAGATGATGAAGCACACCACCAGTCTTGCGCCAGAAGTATGAATGCAAGATTTCTGCCATCGCTCCTCTAGCAATGCTCAGTGCCAAATTCATGACCCCAAGCACTGCCTGTCATGGAAAGTGGTAGAGATGATATAGAATGTTTATAAAGTGAGTGATGTATGTTTGCTTCAGGAATGGTAGTGCCATCAGCCTCTCTGCGCCTCCAATCACAGCGTTGATTACTCCAGAGCCTGTGCGTCACTGCCGGATCCCTGAACTGCCATTGGATGGGAGCCTTCTCTTTGAATTCCTGTTCTTCATCTACCTACTGGTAGCCCTCTTCATTCAGTACATCAACATCTACAAGACTGTCTGGTGGTACCCATACAATCACCCTGCTTCCTGCACCTCACTGGTGAGTTCCCCAGCAAGTGCCATCACTCATCCTTTTTCATTACACAGCTTCTTTTCATGCTTCTTCAGTCCAGGAATCACCAAGCATTTGACATTAAGTGGGTGAAGGGGAGTTCACATGCACCCCCATCAGTCAGGGCCATGTCATCCCCCATTTTACAGGGGAGAAAATACATGGAAGGTGAAAGAGAGGTGTCAGCAGGACTCCTTCAGTGGAAATTTCTTGCGGATACTCACGTGGACTAGCTAGCCCCTAGCGTTTGGAATGGAGCTGAGACTCCAGGAGCCTGCTTTCTCCTGCTGTGAGTGCCCCTTCCCAGTGGAAACAACAGAGCCTGAGAGAAGGGAGATGATGCAAGTTTTCATTAGGATCTCACAGCAGGTCAGCAGCAGAGGAGTTGGAGAGGGGCTCAGATCCTCAGCGTATGTAAACTTCCCGGTCTCCTCAGTTTCAGTCTTCTTCCTGGCCCAATAAGCTGCACAACCTGGCAGTGACCTGTACCAGAGTCAGCAAACCTCATCTGAGTGAAGCTAGCTGCTGAAGTGCTCCTTCAGTTTATGTTGTGTCCTTGCTGCTTGGAAGCATGAGGTGGTTCCCTAGTTAACTATACCGACAGGTGGTGCTGGTGTTCCAGTTATCCAGCTATTAGTTTCAAGTTCACCTGTGTGATGCTGGACACAGCTTGCTTTGAAGAAAAAGCAATTCTGTTTTGGGCTCCCTACCTGAAGGGATTTAATGGTCATTTGTTTGTTCCCATCATAAGTCAAGCATTCTTTTTTTACCCAAAATGTCCTTAAGTCCCAAACGGCAGTATTCAGCGTCTGCTAACTGTTCTAACCAGAACACATTTGACAGCTTCGCTAAAAAATTGTAAGGAGTCCAAGAGCTGTATCTAAATTGATGCAGCCAGAGCCAACATTAAACTTCTAATACAGATCTATGGCCCATGAAGATGACATTTCTCAGATCAACTTGATTATCAGAGACCACTGCTTGCTACAGACCATTTCTGAGACCAAGAGCTAAAGTGAGCTGGTGTGCTCATTCTGTACTCCATTTTGGCTGCCCTTGCCCTGATTGCTCAGTGGCTTTTCCTGGGAGAACTTTCAAGCTGTTCTTCATAGTAGGGTCCTGGTCCTAGATGTCCCCTTGACCCCGAACATGCCTGCCTGAAGGGTGGGTTTGTTCTGTTTTCAGTGGAAATTTCTCCATGGGAAGGAACCTCCGTGTGGGGAAGATCTTGCTTCTGGAGACGTTCCTGTGTTACTGATGTTTATCCCTTGTCCCTCATCCCTAATAGAGAGATTTAGGGAATGCTTACATGAGCTCCTAGTGCACTCACAGCAGCCAGCTTTCCAGTCCCACCCCAGCTGGGTGGTTTCAGAGTCCTTTCTCCTGGTGAAGACTCTTTCTCTTTCCTCCTTCAGAATTTTCACCTCATTGACTACCACCTGGCGGCATTCATCACAGTGATGCTGGCACGGAGGCTGGTGTGGGCCCTCATCTCTGAGGTAATGTCCCCACTGTTCCCTCACCTGTCTGTAGTACTGATTTCAGAACATGACCACCCATGGTCTGAGAAAGTTCTGTGAGTTTGATGGCTGGAGGGTTTCTTCCCCCAGAACAAGTCTGGGTGTGAAGGACTAAGATTTTGCGGATGCCCTTCTTGCCTCGGAGCTTTTCTCCTTGAGCACATTCATTCTTCTGCAGTACTGGGTAGCTCTGTTGCCTTTTGCAGCTATGAGGAGATGAAATGGTCCCTCTTGCTGCTTTATCCCTGCAGGTGCAATACTGTACCTCACTATTTCGTGCCAGCAAAGTGGCTGAGAGAATTGGAAGAAGGATGAATAGTGATTTTAGCCAAGACTGGAAGAATGAACAGGAGATTAGAAGGGAAAGGTCAGAAGAAGGATGTCTGAGTACGCTAAAATGAAATAGGAATAGCTGGCAGAACTGCTTTTCCAGTCCTGGTTACTCAGTAACTCTGAGGGTCTGGTCATGTCAGCTCAGATTTTGAGACCCTCTCTGTGTTTGTGAGAGCAAAACCAGGCCAAATACATGTTTGAGAAGGGTTATTTTGAGGAAAATGGAAGTTCTTTCCACTGAAATCGTTAATACAACTCCAGACTAAGCAACTAAGGAATAAGTTTAAAAATAAATAAGTAAAATAAAAGAACCTTTATGTCCTGTTGAATAGGTGAACAGAGAAGATGGGATCTCAGAAGTTCTCTTTTCATCTCTGATTCCTGCCATTTTCATGTTCCCATCCTCCGTAAAACCTCCCATAGACTGAAATTTCTGCATTGAAACCTTCCATGCAAGTTCTTGCGCATCCCATCTATTGGTTCTAATCCCTAAGAATCTTTTCATAGTTCGATTTGCCTTTTCCCATTTGGAGATCAGAACAAGCTTTTTTGCTGTCCTTTTGAAGGTGGTGCCTCCTCACTAGACTGCAGCCTGTACAACCAGTAGAAATGGAAATCTAGTGGGAGTCTAGTTTTGAGATTACCAAGGTGCACCATCTTCTCTTCCCTCAGCTGAAAACTGCGACATTGCAGTTCTTTAGGAAAATTAATGCTGAGACCTGATTCTTCTAAAGGAAAGAGCAAGAGGAAATGTGTTTCAGGCTGTCCTGGACTATCATCAGAGGACTAGGGAATTTGAGCAAAAATATTTTCTACTTTGTAGCTCTGATTTATTTTTAAGTGCCCTATTTCAGTAATGCCCTACAACTTGCGCTTATTTGAATCTTTTGGATTCTACCAAACATGAAAAAAAATCAAAGCAGTTCACATTTGTAAGGAGGAGTCAGTCTCCTACTTCTGGGAGGAAGAGGGCAGCCATCCCTCTTACAGTGCCTCCTGGCACCCCTCTCCCTGCTCCTCTTCTAGAGGCACCCCCCTGTGCTCCTGCTCTAGCACGCGTGTTACAGGGTTGTTGACTGTTTCTCCTCCGTTTGCAGGCATCTCAAGTGGGTGCAACATCAGTGATTCACTACATGGTGCGCCTGGTGCTGCTCACCCTCTGTGGATGGGTGCTCTGCTGGACTTTGGTCAACCTCTTCCGCAGCCATTCCGTTCTCAACCTTCTCTTCCTGGGCTACCCGTGAGTGACACCACCTTGTACCTTCAGGGTAGGGGGACCATAGGCACTCGGGGGTGGCACGAGCCACCATGGGAAGCAGAGCTGTTGGCTGTAATCTGTCTCCTCATCTTATGAGTAAAGGGGAAGTAGGAATGGCTGGGGGATGATACAAGGAGGTGGTGCTGAGCTGATGAAGCAAATTGCCTCAGTATGCTGTTTGCACGAGGGGCCTTTACTGCGACTGGAGACTGAGCCATTTGGATCACTGGTTCCACAAATGGGATTTAAAGAAGCTTCTCTGCACAGTTGTTGAAGCCACAGCCTCTAGCCTTTTGTGGAGGAGAAGAGTTGGCCACCAGCTTTTGGAGTGAGGGTTCCTGTGTAGTGTCCTTCTCATAAGGGCCAACAGCTGTTGAGAAGGTGGCTTCTGCTTCATGTTGACGTAGCCATCATTTCAGCCCTCTTTTTCTTTCTTTCTTTCCCTGCAGGTTTGGTGTCTATGTTCCTCTGTGCTGCTTCCACCAGGATAGCAGAGCACAGCCTCTACCTGCAGACTGTGGTTACTTGGTACAGGACCAGATGGTGGATGATGGGTCTTCAGCTGTCAGCAGCCTGGTCAAACCCAAAGATTTCCTCTCGCTTCTGTGGGAATCCCTGAGAGAACAGTTCAATAATCCTACGTCTATCCCCACCCACAGCTGCCCCCTCTCCCCAGATCTCATCCGCAATGAGGTGGAGTGCCTAAAAGCAGATTTCAACCGCAGGATCAAGGAAGTTCTCTTCAACTCTCTCTTCAGTGCCTACTATGTGGCCCCCCCTGCCACTTTGTTTTGTGAAGGTAGCTATTGACTGGCTCTCTCTGTGCCCCTGCCCGCCGTCTCCTTCTGAATGTTGTGTGAATTGCTGCCAGGCCAGATTCCTGGTTAATTCCCCTTTTCTCTGTCTCCCCTTTGGCAGCCCGGATAGCGGAGCATGGCTGCATCCGGAGTGCACTAGTACTGCTCCTGGTTGGCGGATAGGTATTGCCATAAATGTGATGCACCTCTAGTCCCATCACCCCACTTACTAACTCCCCTTCTCCCACCCCCTGTCCTAGGCAGATGGATAACTGTGTTCTTCCTAGGAAAGGGAACCTGTTGTTACCTGTCTCAGATCCAACGTCCTGGGTTTCAAGTGCTTGGATCAGAGGCTTTGGTGTTCAGCCTGTTGGAAAACAGAGCCAACTAGGATGCTTGGCAAGCTAAATCCAAGAACCTCTTGTCAGTGTGGGGGTTGTATTTTTTAATCTGTCTTTTTTCTAACTTGGACAAGCTCCAGTTGGTGTAGTGAAATGGGCAGGGCTTCACAATCCATGTAGCAGTCGTGGTGCAATTGGTGCTCCTGGGGCGGTTCTGTGGCAAGCAAACCCCCTTGTTATTTGCTGCTGGAGGAGGAGATGCACCAGCTGCAGCATCATCCCCCTGCCCCTTCTCCTTCAGGTCAAGGAGAAGAGAATCTTGAGTGTTTCCTAAGCTGTAACCCTCTGAAATCACTGGTCCAAAAGCGCATGCCTGTAATGTGTGGTGTGGGTCTGCTGGATGCACATGCAGTTATGTCCCTTGTCATTCCCTCCTCTGTTTTGTGACAGTGGTGCCAAGTTCTTGTCTGGTTTCTTTGCAGAGCACCCAGTACTATGACATGCGCTGGTCCTGTGAACATCTCATCATGGTGTGGATCAATGCCTTTGTCATGCTCACCACTCAACTGCTGCCTCCCAAGTACTGTGACCTGCTCCACAGATCAGCTGCCCACCTTGGCAAGTGGCAGAAACTAGAACATGGTTCCTACAGCAATGCTCCTCAGCATATGTGAGTGTGGGGATGAGGAGGGGTTGGCATGCCCAGCAAGGGGCTGAGAAGACATTCTAGTAGATGAGCAAGTATCAGTAACGCTTATTTACCAAGGAAGCTTCCCCATTTACCATAAAGCCAGGGGTCACAGGTGCAGCTCTGCTGGTCTTTCTGTTCCCTAGAAATAGAAACATCTGCTCTAGAGAGCTGTGAGCTCCTGCGGTCACTGCTGGTTCCTTCCCAGAAGCAAATGCTGAGGTTTTCTCGGCTGCTGGAGTAGCTTGTGCAGGGGCAAGGGGTGGCCCCCTCCGATGCAGGGGGCTAGGTTCTTGCACTGTGAGCCATTTGTTCACATTACTCAGTTGGAGTCCGTCTGGTGGGCTTGTCATCACCTCTCTGTGCTTTTCCAGTGGGAGCTAGGATACATCCTTGTGGCAGAGGCTTTGGTGTTTTTCAAGATGCAGTCCATTACTCTGAACCCATGTTCAGGGAGCTGGGAGCACAGATGCTCATGCTCTGGCATTCTTTCCCCACAGCTGGTCAGAAAACACAATATGGCCACAAGGAGTTCTGGTGCGACGTAGCCGATGCCTCTATAAAGCAGTTGGGCCTTACAACGTAGCAGTGCCTTCAGATGTGTCCCATGCCCGCTTCTATGCAAGTATCTCTTCTCTTACTTGACGTGTTATGGTTGTGGGAGGGAGGAGAGGCTCAAACCTAGCAGCAGCAGAGCAGATCGTGCAGAACAGGGTTCAGTGCTGTGCAACAGCCTGTTGCTGCTAAACAAAATACCTGTTCTCAGCAGAGGGGCTTTCCCGTTGCAGTACTACAGTGATGTCTGGGCAAGAAGGAAGTCACAGCTGCCTTGTCAGTGCTTTCTCACCATGGTGACACAGCTCTCCCATCAGGCAGTGGCATATTCTTTAGAGGGTTCTAGTTAACATCTTCCAGGGAAATGGGAAAGTATGTCAGCTGGCCAATAGGTTATCTCACTCATCATCCCCTTCTTGAGTAAAATGACATTTCTACACGCCTTGTTTTTTATGCTGCTTTCCCTGAGTAGCAGCTAACAGTGGCTGAAGCACAAACATTTCGTCTGCCCAGCACAGTGGTCGCTAGCTCAGTGGTGCCCAACAGCGTTGTGCGCATTCCCCTCCTCGCTTTAACACTGAAACAAATTATAGAAATCTGTCCTTTTTAACCCTTTCCCTGCAGTTCCTTTTCCACCGTCCATTACGGCTGCTCAACCTGCTGATCCTCATCGAAGGCAGTGTGGTCTGCTACCAGCTCTACTCACTGCTGCGCTCAGAGAAGTGGAACCACACCCTCTCCATGGCCCTGATCCTTTTCTGCAATTATTATGTCTTATTTAAGCTCCTCCGGGACCGGATAGTATTAGGCAGGGCATACTCCTACCCACTTAACAACTATGGACTGAAGGCACACTAGGCCGGCAGAGGAAACCTCAGAAAAAAAATATTTTCGTACAGTTCTATTTTTTTCTTGCGGCGTTTATAAATATTTAAAATATTTTATATTTTGTATACTATTGTTTTTGTGGGGCGGGAAGGGAACCAGTGGCAATTAAATGTCGCTTTATAAACAAGGTGTTATTTTATATATATAAAAAAATCAGTGTGTATATACCATATATCAATACCCATACATATATCTATGTGAAGCAACAGGATTGTGCGTGTGGTCACTGTGTCTGCTTTGCTCACACAACTGCCTTGCTATTGCGCATACTGTGGGGCTAGAACTGCTGTTAATTAGGAACTGGTCTGCTGTAGAACTTGGATAAACTAACAGACAGAGGAAGAAAGGAAACACGGGGGCTTTTCACCAGTATGGGTAAAGTTTATCTTAGTAACTTCAGTACCAGGAAAGTCTTGCGTTGGAAATGTGCACTGATGTGATACCAGTTCAGTGAAAGGGAGGAGGCAGGGTGCGGAAAGACAAAGTTATTATCCGTCAGTAAAAGCTCTTGGTTCTTTCTTCTTCCCACTGTTAGCAGGATGTAAGTATTATTTTTTAAAAATAACAAACTCTAACTCCTATCTCTTCTAGTAACTTGAGGTCCCTCACTCTGCCCAGACAATGAACCAAATATTGAAATTATCGTTTTAGGATAGTGTGTCCTTTAGGAAGGGATTTGAAATAAATTGCTTCATCTAGCACAATAGTAATTGAGAATTTTAAACATCCATCTCTAGTCCCTTGAGTATTATCAGTAAATTAGGGAATATGTAGCCATTTCCTTCAAGCAGTAATGTTCCTGGAAGAAATTTAGTCTTGTCAAACATTTATCAACTCCCTTACTGGTATACAATGCATTTCAGCAGTGTTTCACTCTAAGGTACGTTGGTAGTGTTTAATAACATCATTAATAACAGAGGAAATACTTTGCTTTTAAACCATTCTTCATAAAGCTGAACTATGCTAGAATCCCGTGAAAAAATAGTTGTGGCAGTATCACAAAGAGGAACTGAAGACAGTATCAACCATATAATTAATTTAACTGTGGATGCTGGTGACAGCTGATGGTAGGAGTTGATGCTTTAACTCAGGTAATTAAGGAGGAGAGGGCAATGCAATGTTCTTCCATCCAGATGCTATCTGACTTAACTTTAGCCATTAGTAAAGTGCTGGCTCTGTTTAACGAGTGGATATGTATGGGGAACAAAAAAAAAAACCAAGCCGCACTGAGTTTGGGGAGAAACTGCAACTATTTTCTGTTCCTTCTTTCCTTGCAAGCTAAGTAAGAATATAGCAATCTTCTCTGCTTCTGTCTGGAGAACAGCTTCTCCAGCAGCCTGACCACAACCCCAGGATACCTGATGAAGTAGGCAACAGGAGATGCCTCTGAGTAATAACCCCAAACGACTCCAAAACGAACACAAATGCTTAGCTTTGGTTACTGCTAGGCCTTATCTTTCACGTGGCCCTAGTGCTGCTGCCAGGACACAGGTAATTGGGAGTTTACAGTCTGGGGCCTTTCAATGAAACACAGTACTGTGGCTTAAAGCCATGCCATGCTTTATGTAGTATAGCCTCATCTTTAATCCATCTCTTAATTCTACCTTGATTACTTCAGGAAATACATTTGCGATAAGAGGGGGCTGGCTTCTTATCAGGCTCTCTGCTGCAGATGGCTTTGTGCAACAGCTTTCTTGCGCCCAGCTTCGATTCTGGCAGCAGCTCAGTATCATTTCCTACTTCCAGTACCACACAAATGTCACCTGTTTGTAATAGCTGGCTCAGCACTCCTTAAGCAGTATTTCACAGTAGTTTCTTCCATTTGGAGACTTAAATGGTAGTAGGCTTATGCTTAAGCAACCAGTGGGAGAAAAGAGGCTCTCCAAGGCTTAGCTTGGGAAATAGCGGTGTGTAACAGAAAGCCCGAACCAGAGCTTTGGGTCACAGATTTGATGAGGGTTCATGATCTGCTTTTTCCTCCCCTTGCATGTAAGGCTGAAGGTAGGTAGAACCATTCATGCAGTGAGCACGCCCGTACTTTGTGCAGCAGTTAGACTGACCCTACACTGTTTGCAGCATAAGGGACAGAAGCACAGTGACACTTCCATAGCTATAGGCTTTCTGTTTTGCTCTGAGGGACTAAGTAAGGGGGCACAACATGCTATCTAACTGCAGGTGTGTTAAGATCCTCTTATTCCAAGGGAGCTAGGCATTATTTCTTAAGGGAAGCTGCCTTTCCCCCTCAAAATAGTACCTTTATTATATCCTGGAGCAAGAGGAGTTCTGTGAGAAGGTTTAAGGTCTGTGGATTGTACCTTTCCATGCACAGTAGTACGAACTGTCGGCATGCAGTCCTGTGGATGCAACTGTCTTCCATCCTTCCACAGGGCCCCTACACGGAAAGAAGTTGCAGAAGATAGCTGCAGCTTCCCCTGTTGGCAAAAACACAGCAAGGAGCTAGCTAGCACAGTTGGTCTCCCCAGTATAAACTGGGCCATCCAATAACAAACAGGGAGCAGAAACTATGTCTGCTCAGCATCAGTGTTCCTCCCCATTCCTCAAATGAGCCTGCTACTAAGCCTTATTCAGATGAACATTGAAAACAAGTCCGCTCTAATACTTGGTTGGGTCAGACTAGTGAAAAAGAGACTTATTCCCCATCTTGGTCACTCCGTCATGCAAGTATGTCGTAATAAATGGATGGTTTTTTGGTCTGGGAACGAAACTGCTCCAACTTCAGGCCAATCCGCAGAAGAACAGCTTCATCCCACCATTTTGCCATGACCTGGGAGAAGATGAGAAGCAGAGCGAGAAAGGAGAGGGGGGGAAAAAAAAAAAAAGGAGTATCATCACATACAGATGCTTTTGAAAGCCCTGCAAAACATAACTAATTTTTCCCCCCCAACAGCACCAAAAGGACAGATACTTTTCCCTTTTACCCCAGTAAGTATCCCAAATGCAGTGATGCCGCAAAGGCAGCTGTGTGACTTAATTACAAGACATGGACCTTTCATTTACATGAGACCCGTTTCAAGAGGGAGAAGAGCAAGGAAGGACTTAAAGACATTACAGAACTGAGAAATAAGGAAGAGAGAGAAAAGAGTAGTGACAAATAGTAGGTACTGATTCAAGTAGACAGGGAGACAGAGAAATCCATCTCCCAGGTACCTGAAAAGTCCCTCTGCCATTCAGGAGTGAGTTACTCTGACGCAAATCTCCACAACCACAAGTTAAAACTTTATTACCTGTACCTGCCAACTCCTTGAGTATGCTGTGTGGAACAGTAGGAACCTTTTTTTTTTTCAGGACAAAGCCAGTTGGGGATTTCGTGACCTGGTGTTCTCAAAGAGGCAATGCTCACCTGGAAGCTGATAGGAAGCCCAGCAGTAGAATACCCAATGGGGACCACAAGGCCTGGAATCCCAGTGAAGTTACCAAGCTGCATGA